AACACTAGAGAATCACTATCTCCTAGCCTGAAAAAAAAGTTCGCTAACTCGCGAATAATAAACACCTGTCAAGATCTCCCTGATAGCGCCTGAGCGGCAAAAAGACACGTGGGACTGAACAATGTTAAAAGAACACCAACTACCTACAACATTGTTCAACACCGCTGCCAACATTGTAATGGGGGGTGGGGGAAATAGCTCTATCTTGTCCATTATTCCACCCCCCCCCAGTTAACTAACGAGGCCGGGGGAAACAGCTCTCTCTAGTCCGTTATCCAGTTTTCTGGTACGGCCGGGGCTTTGGAGGGACGGCTCGGCCCCAGAGCCTGTTGTGTTGGTTCCCGGGGCTGGGGAGGGGCTGACTTGGGGGGCCCTTGGCCCTGTGACTTGGGGGCCCTTGGCCCTGGACCCCGTGGGTTTTTTTTCTCCCCCTCTAGGCGGGGCTTGTCGTTACGCGGAGTGGGGTCTTTCTTCCCCAGGGCTCGGTTCCTTGGCCGAAGTCGGTTGGTTCCGTCCTGTGGGGGGATGCTCCCCCCCTCCCTTTTTGGGACGGTGTCTTCGTCATGTTTTCCCGTTCTTGGGGTTCTACGTGACTTCTGGTCTCAGGTGCGCCTGTGCCTTTGTGTGCCTTCGGGACTAGTGTTGGCTTCTGTGTTCTCGAGGGTTCGGGAAGGTTTTCGCTACTTCTCGCATTATTGGAACGTCTGTCGGCTCCTCGTCCGGGTTGCCGATTTGGGCTACTTGTAGCCTGGTTGGGCTGTTTGTGGCCAGTGGTCCGGTTGGGCTACTTGTGGCCCTGTTGGGCTCCTTGTGGGCCTGTTGGGCTACTTGTAGCCCTGTTGGGCTACTACTTGTGGCCCCAGTTAAGTACCTTTTTGGGCTCTGTCTTCGCTTCGTTGGCCGGTTTTGTTGTTCCTACTTCCTCTTTTGGCTACTTTTCTAGTGCAGTAGTCCTGGTTGGCGCCTTCCCGCAGTGCGGGTTGTGCGGCTCGGCCAGCGTGTCTTGCGCATGCGCCGTGGAGTTTGTTTTGGTCTGGGCAGTGTGTTTCAGTGCTGGTGAATGCACCCTTTTTTCTCAAGTGCTTCACCTCTCGCTCTTCTCCCTTGCTGAGGTATGTGCCCCTTCGCTCCGGGGGTGTCCTGGTTTCCAGCTGTGGGGAGGATGCCGAAGTTTTCCCCTGTGGCATGGGTGTGGGCCACCTCCTTCGCCTCTACCCTGCTCTCCTGCGGGCCCGGCTCTGGCGTCTTCACCTGGCGGTGCTCCCAGGATCTTCGGGGCACGGTTGAGTCGTGTCACGTTCGTGCCTCCGTTCGACGGGTGAGTTTCTGCGGTCTGGCGTCTTTTGGCCGGGCGCTGGATGCGGAGATGTTTATATACCTGTCTTTATTTAGGTATATTTTTGTACGACTGAGACCGTTCGCACACCAGTGACTGTCCCTTTTTCAACCCTTCCAGTCCCACTCATGTGCATGTCCAACCCATGCTAGAGTCATTCAGGGGATCCACCTTTTTTCGTGTTATGAGGTGTGTGGGTTGTGGTGCTGGTCATGTGCTCACCTGGTAGGGCTCTCCTGGTTGTGCTTGCAGGGTTTGAGCTCTGGCTCTTGGGTCCCGCCTATCTGGAAGAACTTGTGGGATAGTACCAGTGGAGTGCAGTGGTGCTATAGGCACAATCGGGGAACACTGTATAACCATCAAAGGTCTGCAGTTGTTTCACGACTTACTTGCGAGCATACGCATATTGCCGGTACGTCCGTGGACTTACAGGGCACACTAGCCTGTTTTCGAATAGGAGTTCCAGCCCATCCTGGTTGTGAAGGGTATGTGGGCCTGCGGGCCGCTCCAAGCAGCTGCCTGGTGGGCCACCCTCTGGCCAGTCTAGCCTAGCCTCGGGCTGGGCTTGGGGTGTAAATGATCTCACAGTACCCCATCCAGCAGGTATCGAGCGGGGTTCTCCGCCGTCGGTCGCCTGGTGTGCAGGTTTCTGGGCCTGCTGGGTTCAGCCGTGTCTCTGTTGGCCCTGTCTGGGGTCTGCCTGCTCCGTTCTCTGCCTTTGCAGAAGCGAGCTGCTCTTTACATGTTGCGGTGGTGCCTGTTGCTGCTGCTGCACATGTGCATTGGTACCGTTTTTCGCGGTGGTGTGTCCTTGTTCCTGTGTCCGGTTGTGGTGTGGCACTTTGCTGCTGTTTTGTGCCTAGGGTTTGCGTATGGGGGTTTGCTTGTTGTTTTTCGTGGTCTTCGGGTCCCTGGCTTGGCCCTCTCATGTGTGTGTTTTTTTTTGTCCCTGCCTGATCGTCCACCCCTGGTTTTCCTGGGGTTTTTGTGCTTCAGCTCCTTCATCCTGCCTCTCCCCAGTCGTTTTCCTGGCATCTCCTTTGGTCGGTTTTGCCTGCACTTGCTGCTATGTTGGGGGGGGGGGGGAGGGTTGTCGGTTTCCTCCGCTTCATTTCCTTGTGCATTTCCTTGTTTCCTCCTCTGCCGCAGGGGTGTTCTGCGTGTGTTCCTTGGCTTCTTGGGCGTTTTTTCAGCCTGTGTCCTGTGGTGTGCTACTTTGTCTCGGTCTGTTGCAGTTGCTCGTACCCCTTGATTCGGGTACTGTTTCTGGCGGCAACCCTTCTGCCTTTGGTATCCTAGCTTGCCCTGCCTGTTGGTTTTTCGAGGTCTTGCAATGTCTCGCGTCGGACCTATCGTTTCTGAACTCCTGTCGGGCTTGCTTGCTTTGGGGAGTTTTTCTATTCGGCAGACGTTCCATCTCTTTGTGCCGCCTGGGTTTCGGTGGTCGCGCCCGAGATCTTCCCACAACTCCGCCTTTTCCTGGGCTCAGAGTGGCCTTGTTGGGGCTGCTTACGTTCTGCCTCGTGGTCTCGCCTCCGGTTGGTGGTCAGGTGGCTCGTGGTAGGTGTCCCACCTGCGTACTTCTCTTGGCGGCAGTATGGGGTATTTTGGTGGTCCTTCCTTTTCCTGTCCCTTCTTAGGTGGCTACTCTTGTTAGTGTCGGCTTGGTTTTCTGGTGGGGGTTGGGGGCCGTTGCCTTGCCACATACTGTCGCGTCTTTTTGTACGGCGCGGGCGGAGCCGCTTCGGTTTGCTTTCGGTCTTGGTGTTGCTTCTGCACCGTTAGTAAGCTGTCTCGTGCGTCGTTTCGTCTCCGGCCTGTTCGTGCGCCGCTTGCACCGTCCTGGACTCTGGTCAGCGTGCTCTGTCTTCTCCTCGGTTGGTAGTGCCCCTTCGGCTCCGGTTTGTTTTTTCATCAGGTCTTTTTCCTTTTGGCATTTGCCTCTGGGGGTTGGGTCGCTGAGTTTTCTTGCTCCTTCGGTTTTGGCGTTTTGGTTGTTCAGTGGCAGCAGTCTCCATCTTTTCTGGTGCGGGGTGGGGCTGCTGCGTTCTGGAGGGGTCCATGGTTTGTTGGTGCTTGGTTGGTAGGGCCGGGGGTGTTGTGTTTTGTGTTCAGTGGCGGCCCTCCGCTGTTATTTGCATGCCACGGCATCTGTGTCTGGGGCGCATTTTGCGTTGATCCGGTTTTTGTTGTTAGTGAGGTGGCCTTGCTGCTCGTTGTTCTCGTGTTGTTCCCGGGACTTTTTGGGGCCGTGGTGCCTTGGATTGGCGCTTGCTGCCGGTTGTCTCGCTTCCGTGGAGAGTGCGTGGTGTCCGCCTCCCGGTTCCGTCCCTTTGACCTTCCTCTGTGGGTAGTTAGCTCCGGGGAGCCGATGGGGCTCCCCCCAGAAAACCAGCATTGAATGTAATGAAACACCATTTTCTGGGTGAGACCCGGAGGCTCCCCGGCAACCCTTCCTCCCTCCGGTTGGCGGTTTTCGCGTGTTTTGACATCCAGCCTCAGAACTGATGGGTGGATAGCCGGTGTGGGAGGTCTGGGGCTCCCCCTTCCCCCTCCCGGGGAGGGGGGGAGCTGCACAGACAGCGGCGCGGTGACGTGTGACGTCATACTAGTTTGCTTGTTTTCTGTTGGGGAGTTCTATCCACAAGTTCAGCTTTAGGTAGCAATTTTAACCAGAATAGGGGTTTGTTTTGGAATGCTTACCTTTCTGGATGCTTGACCCGGTCGACGGCAGACATAGAATGCTTCCAACCACACGGGGGTTTCTATAGGCCATTGCTCCCCTTGCCTCTCTGAGGGGGCCAGGTTCTGGCCGTGGTCCCCGGTAGGCCCTAGTACTCCATACACATGACTGATGCCAAAGTCTGACATTAGCATATCAGCCTGGTAAAGCTCCAGGGAGCCTCCGGGTCTCTCCCAGAAAATGGCGTTTCATTACATTCAACTCTGGTTTTTTACATTTTTAGGTGATGCTGTGGTCACAAGCTGAACAGCAATGCTGTTAGTTCATGCTACCTGTGCCAGCCTTGGTTGCACAGTCAGTACTGACGCTCTCACACCTGGGGAATGTTGCCCACGATTTAAAAAAAAAAATGGCGTCTGTTTACAAGAGCCCTGATGAAGTTGAGGTGAACCTCCTGTAGCTGCAGGACTTTTAAATCTTGCATGGTACACCCACACATCATATGATGTGGTGCGCAATTCCACAGCAGTTACTCACCACATCATATGATGTGTTGCGCAGATTAAAAATTAAGGGCTAAACATGACGGAACTAGAAGATAGAAGAAAAGATGAGATATGATTGCCACTTACAAAATACTAACAGGAATAGACCAAATTGACAAAGAAGAATTCCTGAAACCACCAACTTCACGAACAAGAGGACACAGATTCAAGCTAAGAAAACAAAACTGCTGAAAAATATTAGAAATTTTTCTTTTGTAGATTGGTAGACAGTTAGACCAAGCTAAGTGAGAAGGTGGTGGAGGCCAAAACTGTTAGTAGTTTCAAAGCGTTATATGACAAAGATTACTGGAAAGAAGGGACACCACGAGCATAGCTCTCATCCTCTAACTACATCTTAGGTAATTACTAGATTCTTTTTTAATATTAAAAATAATACTTATCACATAGATTAAAATTGTTTCTTTTTTAATTCTAGGATGTTGGCCCAACAAACTTGTTGGTTCAGAAACTAACAAGCATCCATGATAATCTCCTTCAGCGTCATGATGTGGCACTCTACACTCATCTAGCACGCCTTGAAATACCTCCACAAATTTATGGAATGTGAGTTTTGTAATTGTATTTTTTAATTTTTACTTCTGTGGGATCCTTAGTTGGCTCCATGAAGCTATCTTACTGATTAAGTGCCATACTACTTGGAAGTCATCAGTTGCAGAGTTTTTGTTGCTTATTAGGAACCATGATCCAGAACCTGAGCTGCTCAGAGAGGTGTAGGGAGCAATGGCCCATGAACACTTTACATGTAAATTTTATCATCTTGCCACCAACCAGGGAAACACTCAGAAAGGTAGGCAAATCAAAACAGACTACTGCATGCTTGAAAAAATGAGACCAGCCCCTCAAAATATCAAACGACCTCCCCCAACATGAAAACAAACAACCAAACCTTCGTCAAACCATTCCCCCTGCTACTTATCTCCATCTTTCCCCTCATTAGGGGGAGGGAAAGCTGGGCCAGACAAGCCGTGCTGCCACTGGTCAGTTCTTGACTGATATTCATATTCATACCCATACCTGTCATCTGTGCTCTGTCAGTCTTGCTCCTACTGCAGTCCCCATTGGTTGTGTCTGAGGGGGTCTCGGTTGACTCAGCCATGGCTCGAACAATGGCTTGGGAGTTTGATATCTTCACCTTTCTGGTTTAACCGTTGGGCTGGGTTTGGCTCTGGTGGCTGTTCTGGTATCTAAGTAGCAGCCCCTTTCGCCGCTCTCGCAATTGCTGGGTCCGATCCCCGGTCTCCCTTCACTGCTTGCTGTGCATCGGCTTCCTCTTTGTTGTTTGAGGTTCGGTGCCATGGCACTTTCCTTCTCTCTCGCTCAATGTTCCAGACACCTCAGCTGTTGATTGGGTCTTTGGGACTTGTGCTCATCAGTCCGGTCTTGGTTTTTGGTGTTTCCCACTTCATCTGGCTTACAGGCCATTGCTGGAACAATGGCCGCCACAGCGACAGTGTGGCGGGCATTGTGGGGGGTTTGAATTCCTTGGCTCGGTGATTCGATTCCATTTGTGGCGTTCCCCCATGGTTCATTGTTCCTCAATTATTTGGTCCATTAGGCGTTGGTCACTTCGGTTAACTCTTTTGTTGGGGTCTCGGGGTTTGGCTCTTCTTCTGGGGGAGCCCCTTCGGCTCCCCAGAGATATCCAGGCTGATATGTATATCCTTAGACTTTGGCATTAGTGTGGATGGAGGCCTACCGGGGATGACGAGCCAGAACCTGGCCCCCTCAGAGAGGCACGAGGAGCAATGGTCTATAGAAATTACTTGTGACTATGTCTGCCATCGACTGGGCCAGGCACCCAAAAAGGTAAGCGCCTCAAAATAAACCCCTATTCTGGTTAAACACTTTCGCGCACCCGGCGCGCCAGCCCTCAACTAGGCCCAGTGGGCCTCGGCGTTTCACAGGAGCGCACATTAATTCTGAAAAGTGTGTATTATTTTCAACTGTGTCACCTCAATTCTCGTCCTAAGAGATTAAATTTGGTATCATTGTGTTCGCAATAGAATTCTCTAGAGCACTAAAGGCATATAAACTCCAAAAGCCCAGCTAATTACCCACAGCAAACAGAGAAAGTGAGAACAAGTTACCTGGGAGCGCGTAAAAGTGATAAAATGTGTTCACTCTTTTCACTCTGGTCACCTCAATTTTCGTCCTAGGTCTTTCATTTTGGTATCAATGGGTTTGCAATAGAATTCTCTAGAGGAATATTAGCATATAAAATAAAAAACCGGGTCACGCTCCACCCGCCAACACGTTGAAGACGTGCCACGCGTTAGCCGCGAGGGAGCGCCCAGACGCCTTCCAGCTACACTCCCAATTCCTGCCCACAAATGTTTAATATTTTTACCGGTTGCTAATCTCAAATTTCATGTTACATTGTTCGTTTAGGTATGAAATTGTTCCTAATAGAATGCTTTAGATGGATATGTGCATATAAGGGCCAGTTGAAAAACAATATTGCCAGTACAATACGCAAAAGTATGAAAAAAAAAAAATATACGAAATAATACAACTTTTTGTACTTACCACTTCAGTGTTGTGTGTTGAACATGACATGGGTTAAACATTTGTTTTATCCTGGACCTTGATTCAGGAAGCTCTGTGTATTTCTTCGTAAGTGGGTTTGCTACGAAGGTTCCTAAGTGCGCCCTAAGAAGATGCTTAGGTGCAATTCAATAAGGTCCACTTAGGAAGAAAATTGTTGGTTCACCTGCGTGCCGATAAAGGCCACTACTGTGTTTCGTTTGGCCAATCAGAGAGCAGCAACATTCTTCATATTGAAGATTTAGCGCTGGCTTATCGGAGCTCTACTGCCTCCTATTTACGTCGAATTTTCTCATAAAATTAGTATATTTCGAAGTAAAACAATGTTTTTTCAACTTCTACAGCCAGCACCGACATTGTAGTAAACAAATATGTTACATTTGTTGTTTACCTACGTAATTCTAAGAGATACTGTGTAGCTGTCCTTGTTGCTCGGAAGATGCGCTGACAATTATTGTATATATTTACTGAATTTACCCAAGGGCCACTAACTATCTAGTGGCCTCGAAGAGGACAGAAAGCCGGCGGCTTGTTAAAGGGCCCGCCAATTGTCTTAATGATATTTTTAGCTGGAATTTGGAATTTACGGCTTCAGCGGGTAGGCGGTTCCATGAGTTTATAGCCCTCTTGGTGGAAAAAAAAACATCTGTTTTCAATCCTACTTGAGAGAACATACTCTCCAACACTATATCTGTGATTGTCCTGTTATCAGTGACTTCATACCAAATGGTATGAGGTATTTTGAGCTCTGTAATTACTTCATACACTCAGGAATATTGGAAGATATTCTTGTGCTGCACCCAGATTTTGCCAGTGGGGGCTAATAGATCAGCATTAAGTATTTTGTTCTCTCCTAATTCCATGTATAACTGGCCATCCTGTGAGGTGATGATGTTGGATGAGCTTGTAGCTGGTTTTTTATCTACACTGTGTGGTCCTTTATACAAAATAGGGAAGCAACACATTGCTGTGTATACCTAAACATGTTTAAAAATACATTGTTTGAGAGGAGTCTGGTAGAAACTGGTAAGAGTAATTATAATATAATGTTTCCATGATTCAGTGCTTACCTCTTGTGAAAATTGCTTAGAGTTGTTTAGTCAGAGTTGATTTGTTTTTTGTATTGAGGCTGGTATTTTCTAAATTGATTCCATGTACAGTATGTCTAACCATCCTGTGAGATGGGAGTATTAGATAAACTTATAGCTAGTTTTTTTATCTACACTGTGTAATATTCCATATAGAATAGGGTAGTAGTACATTGCTGTGTATACCTAATCTTCTTAATAAAAAAAAATCTAATAAAGATTTTAAATTATAATTTGTATTATTACAAATTCAGTACTGTATTATCCTTATTAAATCATGTTGACCATGGATCATTAAGATCTCATGTTGATATGTAATAGTCATATTTCTTTTGAACTGCTAATCCATGCTAATCATTCATTAAATTGTGCATTATGTCTCAATTTTTCACTTCCTTGGATATACTGTACAGTACAAAAAGATAGGATAAAAATAAACCAGTAATATTTCTTTCATTATATTTTTCATTTAAATAACTGCATCAATATTTTTACAGCTGACAGGATTTGTTTTACCATACAGGTGCATTATTTGTTAAAAAAAAAAATTGGTTTATTGTTACACACAATGGTGCTACATAGCCTTCCCAGCTTGGTGCCTTCTTTTAATACTTACTGATTAAAAAATAAATAAATACATTTTATTCAGGAAAAGTACATACAGTTGATTTACAAACATAATGTTGGATTTATAGACAGAGCAAGTACATACAATACCTAAAGCCACTAATACTCATAGCATTTCGGGCAAGGTGTTGGGGAAAAAACACAGACTAAAACTTAATAGTAATCGGGATTAGGTATAAATTGTGTTGAAAGAAGGAATAAAAAATACAAAAAGGGGGGTTAACATAGCATAAATTAGCAATTGCACATGTTGGTGAACAGCGTTGTTTAAAAAATAGCAAGACATGGGTTGACATTTAGGAGGTAAGTTAGGTTACATGGAGTTAATTAGGCAGTACTTGGTTTAACTCTTAAACTGGTTGAGAGAGGTACAGCCTTTGACATGATTCGGGAGGTCATTCCACATTCTGAGTCCCTTGATTTGTAGAGCACTTCTAGTTTGGTTACACACAGCCAAATTGAGTAACAGGAAGAGGTCTTGGACACAAATTTGTTCCATGCTAAATGTAGAGGAATCAGCTGAGTATTCCTCAAATAAAATAAGTTGCCTCAGCTTATAAGGTAAATAAAATAAGCATTTCTCAAATAAGTAGCTGCCTCACCTCACTGCCTTACTGCTACAAAGCCTTCCCGGCATGGTGCCTTCTTTTGATAATTACTTGTTCCACATCCAAATTGTATAACAGGAAGAGGTCTTGGACCCCTACTTCCCTCTCTCTTTTTTAATAATCTATATAGTCATAATTATAGCTTTAAGTACAGTATCCACTCAATTTAACGGCCTATATGGGGCTGAGCCCTAGTCGTTATTTCCGGAGCTCCGTTATTTCCGAAGTTAAGTCGGGTCGGGTAATTTTTCAAGTAACATTCAGGTAGGATATATTTTATACTGTATAACTAAAATTAAATAAAGTTCATTGTGTAATTGCATTCCAATTTAGTGAAACACCGACGATTAAGCCAGTTGTTGGCTGCTGCATGGATGATGTGTGAACACGGTCTGATCAAGCCCAGATGGGTGGGAAAAAATTGATTCATTCCTTTGTATTGCAAAATATTTCATGTATCAATCAGCAAGTTAATATTTTCTCAATAATATTTTAGAGATGTGTTTTGATTTACCCTGAACAGTGCAGGTAATGTATTTTTAATGTTACAACACAGGCTGTGGCGGCCATGCCATAACAATGGCGATCGAGCCTTGTCACTGAGAGCTAGCCAAGACGAAATATTTTGAGCTCACCTATTCTCTGCTGACGATAGAATATACATTTGCAGAGACTA